TCGCGCTCCTGCTTCTCGCGGCGACGGCGCTCCTGGACCTCCTTTACACGCTGCTTCTTCTTAGCCTCGAAGTCGCGCTCAGCGGCCTTGCGACGCTTCTCGAACTCCTCGTGGCGCTTCTCGGAAACCTCTCTGCGGAAGTTGCTGAACTGGGGGACGAGGCGGCCCAGACGGTGCTTGAGGGAAACGGCCTCGGCGTGCTTCTCCTTGGACTCGCGCAGTTCCTCGGCGACGTGCTTCTCGTAAAGCTCAGTGTCGAGCTTCTTCTGGGCATCGTAATCGGCGGCAATGTGCTTCAGTTCCTCGCGACGGAAGGCACGCTCCAAGTGGTCGATACGCTTAGCAGTGGTGCGGATACGGTCGTTCAGCTCGTTCTTCTCCTTCTCAAGCTGAGCCAGCTTCATGGCACGCAGGCGGTTGGCATCAAGCTCGTCAAGGTCGATCTCGCTGACGTCAATACCCTTAACACCAGTCTTGAGCTCCTCGAGCTGCTTCTTGAGCTCCTCCTGGCGAATGCGGTCCTGCTCATCCTTAATACGCTTGAGCTCACGGTCACGCTGCTCATCGGCCAGACGCTGCTTCTCGGCATCCTGGAGTTGCTGGGCACGGACACGCTTGCGGGTCTCCTCCTCGCGCTGCTTGCGCTGCAAAGCATCGGTAGCGGCTTCCTTCTTCTTGTCGATAAGAACGCGACGGGCGAGGGTCTCCTCGTGCTCCTGGGTAACACCAGCAATGGCGCGGGCCTGGGCAGTCTGCTTGGCCTGGAGACGAGCCTGGTTGTAGGAGGGATCGACGTACATGCAGGTGATGTGGAGAGTCTTGGCGAGACGGGCGACCTGGAAACGGGCGATTTCGGCGGGGGGGTGTGCTGCAGGCGCTGGATGGAGCCAACCTCGCTCTCAGCGGAGCCAGCACCGCTGCCGGCGTGGGTAGCCTTGGAGGAAGAGAAGACATCGGAGTCGAAAGTCAGGACACCGGAGATGTGATCAACGCGAATAGCGAGGTCACCCTTCTTGCAACCGTTCATGATGAACTTCTCAATCATGGCGGGGGTGATCTGGAAGGGAGCGGGGAACTGGGCAAGCTCGTAGACGAACTTGAGCTCAACGGACTCGTAAACCTGGGACAGCTGCTGGAAGAGACGGGTGAGAATGACCTGCTGCAAAGGCACAACGTACTTCTCCATCTCGGGGTCGTCACCAATCTGCTTCAGGATGGGGGTAATCTTCTTGCAGATGGACAGAGGGTGGAAGTCAACCTCGAGGATGTTGTACAGCTCGCGGATCTCGGGGCGCACACGGCGGAGCAGACCCTTGTTCAGAGCATCGCGGAAGAGCACATCACGGGTGGGCGAGGTGGCCATACCGAGGAGGTTAGTGAGACGGGTGTTCTTGTTCTTGCGAGCCTCATCCACATCGACCAGAGCGCCGCGGGAGCGGGAAGTACTGATAACGGGGATGGACAGAGCGGAGAGAAGGACGAAGGAGGCGGCCTTGGTCATCTCGGCCTCGGTGACGGACGGGTTCTCCTTCCTGGAGCTCTGACCGCTGGCCAGGGCCACGGAAGAAAGACGGAGCAGGTTGTAGTAGCGGTTGTAAGCGGCGGCGTGGAAGAGGTAGTTTTCGCTCACAAGGAAAATGCGGGCGAGCTTCTCGTAGTAGTTGGCCATCATAATGTTCTTGGCGGGGCGCTTGCTGAGGTTCAACAGGGTGTGGATATCCTCAATGCTGCGGAAAGCCTCCTGCCACAGCTCCAACTCAACGGCAACGTTCAACTGCTGGAAACGAGTGTCGAGGTGGCGCTGCAGGGTATCGGCGTCGCTCAGGTTGATAGCGTGCATCTGGGAAGAGTACTTGGCGGCATTCTGGACGTGGTTGCGCAGGAGCTCACACAGGCGGCGGAACTCAGTCTTGCGGGCGTACTTTTGGCAGAACTTGAAGGCCTGGAGGGCAGTCGACTGGTACATGATCTCGAGACGGGCATTGTTCTTCAGGATCTCGAGGACGGTGCGGTAGGTCTCCCAGAGGAACTTGAGCCAAGGGGTGACAACGGCGCGGTCGGTACGGTCGCGAGACTGCTCACCAGAGACAGTAGCAAGGAGGATGGTCTCGGGGGTCTCGATGGCCTCCAAATCCTCAACGTTAGAGGAAGGAGCGGCGGACTCGAGGGTCGACTGGATCTCATCGGCCTTGGCCTGAGCCTCGGTGACCTTCTGTTCGGCGAGCTCGATGAACTTCTTGAGAACAATCTGCAGAGATGAAAGAAATGCTAGATTAGTGACAAGTCACAACAATTTTTTTTAGGAAAAAAAATTTCGGACGATCATCAACACGAACCTCAATAGTGCCGACATTGGTATTCTGAGCAATGTTCTTATATTGGTAAAGACCATCCTTGGCGGCCTTGCCCTTGCGAAGGTCGACAGACAGCTCAACGAACAGGAGCATCACCGGCTCGAGAGAGGCGATAGGGCTGCTACGGGTGCGCTTGGAGGTGACATGTTCGTGAAGGACAGTCAAGGCGGCGGGAGCCTGACCGACGGCGATGAGTTCCTGGGCCCTCTGTGAAAGATAAGAGTCATTAGCAACCGATGTATGTTGTATTTCGCGACGACAGCGACGGTGACGCTTACCTTGAGGACATTCTCAGGCTTAATATGCGGAGGGGGCGGCATGATGGGTGGATGCCCCTTGGGAAAGGATCAAAGGTGACTGATAAGAAATTAAAAATTGGAAAAAAAAAAAGGTCTTAAGTGAAGCCAGCGACAACACACGGGCAGCTGGTAAGAATGCGATTAGCCTGCCACGCGAATACCCGATAACGAGGGGAAGATTCACAATGTGCGTGTTGAGGCCAGAGCAAAAATTGGATCCCGCCAATGTTCCCACTTCGCGTTAAGCGATGGCGATCACGTGTGGTGGCCTAAGGCAGGAATTCAAAAGTACATACAAAGTTATAACTCGGTGTCTACGAGGATGTTGATATGTCATATTTGATGACTATACATTGTGATTATGAGTGTATTATTGGTTGACTCTACTCTGTTCAAATATTATAATTCCAACTATCTCATTCCGACCCCGACAATGTACTTTTTATAATATAAATACCAAATATAAATTCGAATAGAAAGTACTGGATACATATTATTTGTTGTTTCACTCTATAATACAATAAGTACCGGGTACTTCCCCCCAAATAAATTCCCCCAGTATAACATATACCAACGTAACGTGTAAGGGGAGAAAAGAAAGAAAGAAGAAAAAAAAAGGGAAACCCACGGACCAGCCCCCCGGGGGATCTTCCCAAATCCCCTCTAAACCACAGAACTCATTTGTCCATTCTCTCCCTTAGAACAACTCGACATCCGAATCCTTCACCTTCTTTTTTTTTTCCCTTTCTTCTTTGTCCGGCGTCTTGGCCCCTGATTATCCGCCCCCCTCCCCTTAAACCTAACCTAACCTAATTCTTACGCCCTTGACCCTTGAGACACCTGCCGATCCAAAAACCCCCCTCTCCCCCCTTTCTCTATTCGCGCTTCTTTCACAGTTCAACCCATCACGATGGCTCCCTATGAACTTCGATCCGGGGGTGATGTCAAGAATAAGAAGCAAAGTGTCGCCGACTTGAAATATCGTCGGTTGACCGAGCTCAATGGTCGTCTAAAGGAGGATCTGGACCGTCCACGGGTCAAGGTCTCCGAGGCAGCTCTCTCGTCCGTTTTCCAACCCTTTTGTTGAACCAAAAGAGAGAGAAAAAAAGACAAACAAACTGACACATTCAACAGTCTCATAAGCTACTGTAACAACACTCGCGACTTTATGGTTCCATCCGTATGGGGACAGGTATGCGACCGGCCTTGTTTTTCGTCTCATCGCGTGCGCCCATGTCCAAAACTAACTCCATCTTCCTAGGTCGACAAGCGCGAGGATCCCTATGCTCCCCAGCAACAGGGAGGTTGCTGCACCGTCATGTAATGCACTCACGACGGGAATCTTTTGCCATGATATTTCGCTCTCCTTTTTTTCTCTTTCTCCCTCTTCTCTTCTATTTAATTCCGGACCCATTCACGACCACCCCCTTGGACCCGAACAAAGCACTGCGATTGCTTGCGCGGACAAAAATGTCGGCCTGAAAGAATCGTCTGCTGGTCTTGCACGAAACCTTCCACGCCTCCGGGGATTATAAGAGTCCCGTTGTGTTTTGTCGCCCTTTCCGCTACCCCGGTCTCCCTTCGTCCTCGGACTCTGCAGACAGTGCACTTGACGATGCACCTGTTGCGCTTTACTTCTTCTCTGAATTACACCATTCCCCCTTCTCGCTGTGTTTGCTTGGAATCGGCCTTTTCTTTTTCTTTTTCTTTTTCTTTTTTCTTTGTCTTTCTCTTATGTATCCTTTTCTTTATGGGTTCTCAAATCTTCAAAAATCATCTTATGTCAGTCAAGGTGTGAGAGTTGCCATTCATGTATCATAGATTCGCATGACCAAATACCATATCGATCTAATCGAATTTCCGCAAAGAGCATTTTGTAAGTCGGCCCCAGAGCCCGACAATCACGTCTCGCGATTTGCTTGGGATGACCTAGGAGTCCGGTTTAGCCCTCCGTTGTTTCGGCCTTATTGTTTCGGCCTTGTATGGCCTAAATTGACAATCGGTAGGTCTAGCTAAAGTACTTTTATACATGAATAAATATAGAATAAGAAATATAAAATTGTAAAAGAAAGTCCTTGATATAGTAACTACAGTCAGTCCATCCCCGCTGACATCATCCAAATTCCCATCCCACTAAGCTCTGGACATCAGCTTGAACGTGCAACACACAACATACAACCAACATACCTCTCAACTGTCTAACCAGAAATACAACCCATCCATCCACTTGCATATACAACATACACACTACCCCATCATCCGAAACACTCCACCCACACACTACAATATTGTACACCACTTACCCTCCTCATTGACCTGCATCAGCAACAAACCACCACCATCCATCATGGCCGAATCTCCATCGACATCGAAACCGTCAGACTCAATCACCCATAACATCGATAACACCGAAAAACTCGCACAAGCAAACGTCCATCTCCCCCGCATCTCAATCCAGTTCTGCACACAGTGTCGATGGATGCTCCGCGCCGCATACGTACGTGGTTATCTTTCTTTCTTTCTTTTCTGACCTATCACATTCGAAGTCATTTGTTTTTTTTTTCCTTGATACTGGATACTTGATATATTGTCACTGGCACTGTCACTGTCAACATGACCATGACCATGACCATGAATACAATCTTTGAATGCAAATGCAAATGCTAACAAAAGCAACAGTTCGCCCAAGAACTCCTCTCAACATTCAGCACAGACCTGGGCGAGGTAGCCCTCGTCCCGAAAACCGGCGGCGTCTTCACGGTGACGATATGGCATGGTATGATGGTTGAAGGGGAGATCACTACGCAGGAGAGTATTCTGTGGGATCGAAAGAGGGATGGGGGATTTCCTGGTATGTTTTTCTTTTCTTTCGTTTCTTTTCTTTTTCCATTTTAATTATGTATTGGGGCTATGCATTCTATGCATTCTTTATATACTACATGGATGACTTGTCTGGTTATACTATTCAATACTTGGTCTAACCATTCTCCTCCTTCATTTAGAAGTCAAAGCGCTCAAGTCACTTGTGCGGAATGTTATTGCTCCTAATAGGGATTTGGGACATACGGATCGGGCATTGAAGAAGGAACAGGGTGAGCAAACGGCGGCAAAGAAAGAGGAGGAGAAGGAGGGGAGTAAGGATAAGGCAGCCTGTGAGGATTGTCAGTAGGAGTATGTATTGGGTCATATTCCTACTTAGTATCTACATCTACATTCAGTTGCTATATGTATAAAAAGTATAAAACCCCATTTTTAGATCGTGCTGGCACTCCTAAGAATATCCTTGAATACACACATGTTACAATTACAAATCTGAGCACAAGAATCAAAGTATCACTGTACACATCACATTCATTATCGCGCGGAGCGGAAGAGTCTAACAAGAGTCCAGGTAAAAAAAGAAGGTAAAAAAAAAAAAACCAAAACACAAGAGGATCAAATACAGGGGGAAAAAGGGGAAAAGCCCACTCCTGTAAAAGATAGAACGCCGGCCTGTCACCGTACTCTAGGACAAGAGAGAACTGCCCGAAAACATATGAGACAACTGCGGGGCAGAAATACAAAAAAAAAAAAAAAAAGAGAGATGAAGGAAGGTGCAGGGTAAGGATAATATTCGTGGTCATCACACTGAAGTAGTGGGCAAGCCCGATGCAAATAATCAGATGACAGATGTAGCGGGAACATCAATGCCAGTGTCTCCATCGAGAGGAATAAATGATAAAGCGTGACTCTCAATCTCAAAAGGAGAGAGGATGAATTAAAACATGCAACTCATCTTGTCCTTGACAATGTAATTGCCCAGACAAGCTTTGCATTTGCTTTCGTGTCCGAGACAAACTCAGACATTCCAGCAGAAGGTAAGAAGGTATCGTTATCGACCTCGTAGAGTCATGACCAGGAGAGCCAATGCGGTGGGGAAAAGAAAGTCCAAAGTCAGGCTTCTTCGACTGGTCGAGTCATGAATTCATCGAACACCAGTGTGGTCTCAAGCCTCGTTGCAAAATGAAATGTTCGTAAGACCATGGCAGCATTATACACAGCTGAAGATGCTCCGAAAACGCGAAAGCATCAATCAGGATGGCAAAAGTCAGGTCTCACCGCGGACCTCGTGCGAATGGTTGCGACGTTTCCAAAAAGCAAGTCGAAGTCGACTCTTCCGCTTAGGAAGTCTACGGGTACCATTGGAGTCATCCACTTGCGGAGTTTCATTTTTGGTGCTCTCGCCAGTAGTCGTCGACTGGGCCGTGCTGCAGGTTCCGTGAGCTCCCAGCCTGGAGAAGTCTTTGCTGGCACCGTCTTCGGATCGAGTTTGACCACGAGCAATGTTAGAGGCACGACCGGGGCTGTAACCGCCTGGGGGCTCTGATACATTTGAAGGATATGCGTCCGCTGTGCTGGGACGGGTGCTGTTATCGTCAGGTCCTCCAAGATCACTTTGCGCGACACTTTCCCCAGAGACTCGCTTTTCGTCGCCGCTATCCACAGCCAAAAAGCTTGAGGCATTAGTTGCGGGAGAGATCGGTGTCATCGTGTTGCTGTAAGTGCTTTGTGTCCGTGTGCAACTATTGCGATTTGAGCCCGTGCGAGCAGACGAGCTGTTGTGCGCATGGTGACGTTGAGAACCGCGTTGAGAGCCGCGTTGAGAGCCATGTGGAAGACCTTGGCGGGAGCTGCTTGGTCTCTCAGCAGACCCAGACCCATGGTCACGCCCTACTGATCCCGATGAAGTACCGCCACCAAAGGCCGAGTTGGCATACAAGACGGCAGCTAGCACAGCCGGATCATCGGTAACAGGGCCTGTTTCCGCGAGAGGGTTATGTAGTTGTGTTGAAACAGACCCACGCGCAGACTCCGGAGCTCCTGGGATGGAGAAACCAGAAAGGTCCGGCATTGCACTAGAAGACTTCCGAGATGCAGTCGTTGGCACCAGGGGACTTCCTGTGATTTCGATCTGAGGACCTGTGGTATCGGGCGACACAACCGGCTCAATGTTGTTTTCATTGTATCCACGAGAGCCTGAACTCGTGGGAGCTTTGACTCCATCCGATGCGCCATCTCCTGAATCGACATGCAGCTTGTCAGAGGATTCAGGGCTATGGGAACGAGGCGAAACAGTAATCTCGGCCCGTTTCTCAATCGGAAGACCTTGCTTCTTCAGCTCCTCGTTAGAAAGTTCCTGCCACTGTGCCTGATTGCGAAGGATATGGTCGGCAGTGAACTGCAACTGGGGCAGAAGGTCGGAAATGCCTTCGAAGAGCGGCAGGGCGAATATCGACATGAATCCAATTTGACCAGTAGCCAATTTGTAGATGTTCCCTAATTCGGGTGGCCCGCCAAACAGTGCAGTTTCCATTCCAACCTCCCTTTCCATCTCGCCCTGATTGGCGAACTCCTCTTGCAGAATCTGCGTCCACTTCTTGGCAACTTTCCACGGTCGAGCCACGTTACTGATGTCGGCACATTTGATCAATAATCCACAAACGAGAGTCTTGTACATGTCGACATCTTGCGGCTTCCAGCCATCAACAGATCGGTTGTTTTCATAAAACTTTTCTTGGAATGAGCCCATTCGTTGCATGAACTTTTGGTGCACGCCCATATCTGTGGCCAGTATAGAGCTGATAAGGAGCTTTCGAAGTTGATTGTCCTTGAATGCTGCAGGCCAGTGCCGACGCAGAATTTGGGAGAAGGCGGCGCAGTGGAACGCTTCCAAGACGGAATTGTCGTTGTAAAGTTGAGCCAAAGGTGCGTTCAATTTGACGAGGAAGAAATTGTTGACACCTGGGTGGCCGACGTCATGACCAATGGCTGAGATAAGGAGAGTAAGGGCGTCGAATGGCGTGAGAAGGGAGGTGATGGGGGTTTCGGGGATAGGAGATCCCCCAACGGATTCATATGGAGGCAAAGCCCCAATGTTTAGCAGGAAGCAAAAGACGGATTGCAGCACATCAATCGCATGGCGGAAATTGTGGTAAAGCACGAAGGAGTTATAGGCGGCGCGGCAGGCGAGGAGGAACGTTTGCAATTCATCGGGGGTCAACCGCCAAGTATCCAGTCCCGGCATGGTGAAAGCATGCTGTATCATCTCACAGGCGCCAAAGACCAGTTCGTCCTCGGTAAACTCGTGCGCGCAGAACTTCCAACTGCCTACCTGCTCTTTGATAAAAGGGATACGCGCGGGATCAATATTGAGATCCTGTTCCTGGAATTCATCATGTATGACTTCTTCTGGGTTGCAAATTCCCTTCATCAGCTTTGAAACCATGGCTTCTCTTAAATAAGAATATGGCTGTTCATCATTCACACCAACCCAAGAAAGCTTTCGTTGCTTTCTCCGTGCAAGAAATCGGGACATCTCTCTTTGAGCTGCTTTACGGGTGCGGTAGGCATGAACCACAAGCCCTTGAATCCGCGACCGGTCTAGGGGAGTGGTCAAGACATCCATAGCACCGGCATCAAGACAGCGGGCAATCTGCTTGTGCTCCGCCGTGATAGGTCCTTGAGAATCTGGTTGACGGGTATCCGCATTATCGCTGGGCCCATCGGGGGTAGGAAGACGTAAAATCGCAATGGGAATGACCAAATTTGGCCCCTCTTGGGCTTGGATATCGTTCGAAACACCTGATAGAAGGGATAGGCCTCGTGCTTCATCGGATTGTGTTGAAAATGTGAAAGTACGGTGGATGGAGCCTGGTGACGGGGGAGCGTTGTCTGTCCACGAGGCGCGGCTGGCTTTTCGACGAGCCAGGTTCGACTCTTCGCCGCTAAACCCCACCTCAAAGAATGCGAAAATGGGGTTACACTCGCTGCCCGACCGGTCGCTGAGCTCGGCCAGCTTGGTAGCAAAGGAGGAACCGTTGTGGCAGAGATAGACTGCAAGAACGACAGTGATTAGTAAATCATCAAACGGAGTGCAGTCTGCAGAACCTACCTTGTTTGCACACTGACAGCAGCTGCTCCACATCCGCCTGCAGGGCCTCTGGTTCTTCGGGGGTTGTGAAGGAACCTATGGACGATATTGTTGAAGCATCGATGGAATTTTTGCGCACCCATCTCTCCGACCGCACTCGGTCATCAATGTAGAGACCTGCGCAATCCACGCGGTCAAACATGATTGTTGGAAGGTGTAGAGCGACCACCGATCAGGCTGTGTCGCTGGAATCACAAGACTGACAAAAACTCAAGCGGAGTGAAGAAAAGGGAAGGGTTTGGTCGGAGTGGGCCTGATTCGCATGTAGCTCAGATGACGAAGACCGAGGCGTGCAACTAGGGGTATGATGGAAGGTACGGGTGACGAGGGCGGCTTTTGGGAAGGTGGGAAAAAAAACGAGCGGCGAGGTTGGGGAGGGGGGATATGGAAGATCGGGAGGGATCCGAGTAAATCGGCACACAAAGAAAGTCGGGGAGAAGGAATGGCAGTCGGGAAGCAAGCTCTCAGTTCACCGAATCGAACAATGGAGTTGTTTCCTGCAGCGAGGCAGTCCGAGTCGCGTTGTGGACTGGAGGTTCCGAGACAACCCCCCAGAGCCTAGACTTCTAAAACTTGTCGCACTAGACAGATCGAGCAACCCACTTTTTTCCACCCCGGGGATCGGAGGAGTGATGGGATGAAAGCGACACGTGAGTTGTCGAGGACGAAGGGGGTTCAATTGGAGATGAAAGAAGAGAAAGGGAACGGGAAAGGACGTCAGTTCGACATGGTTGAGGGTGTATGTTTAGTGTGTAACGTGTAAGCGGTGAGAAATTAACAAAGAAAAAGAGGAGGAAGAGGAAAGAGCAAAAGGAAAAAAAGGAAATTCAAGAAGTTGGAAAAAAAAAGAGCAAAAAGAAGAAAAGAAGAAGTAAAAAACAGCCCAGAGCTGAGGACAGTGGAGGGGCGAACACGGGGAAGGGGCTTCTTTCCTCCTTCCAGAAGGCCTTGGGGCGGGACGGGATGATCCCTCAGGTAATCTTAGTTACAGTCACAGTTCCAAGTTTACTAGTTTAGGTATTGATTTGGGGTTATTAACTATATATTTCTAGTCATTTCGATCTATCTATATGTTATTATAACTTATTATAAGGTTATATAGTTAGGGGCTATCTCTCTCCTTCTATTCCTCTATACTATCTCTTCTCTGGCAGAGCCTCCGATCGTAACCTGTGGACCCAATGACGCCTCTTTTTTTTTTTTTTTTTTTTCTTCTAGAAGGTTGGCGGGTTAGTAAGCGCAGATTCTGTAACACAATACACCTGGGTGGTGCTGGGGTGGCTATGCAGTCCAGATAACATAAGAAGCCCTGGTTATTTTGATTTAGGCTAGTATCCTGGAACAAATACAACATCTATACAATATATGGTTGTAGTGATATATACCTAGGTACATATGTATATAAAGATAGTTCTATTATTAACACCAAAAGTTTTAAAGTATATTATAAGGACCATATTGTAAACCTACCAAGTATACATATGTATAAATCCACCTTCACACTCTGCAGAATCGAAAAAAAAAAAAGAAAAAGCAAAAAAACACAAGAGTGGAGAGAGGATGTTTGGGCCCATTTGGGGCCAAATCTGACGGAAGACCAAATAATCCGAGGTGATCTCATCGACTGCTGATTAGTTGACTTTGGTCGTCTCCACTTCCAGAAATGGATCATCTGCAGCTCCAAATTACATGCATTTCAACTGTCTTTAACGTGACACATTAATTCTTAATTTTATCTATACATGTAGTACATTATACATTAAATATACTAAATATATTTATATTCAAATGATAGATATTAGAATGGTAGAAGATATAAATATAATAATATCTGATATAGTTGATGGTAGAGGTTGTGATCTTACCTAATTTCCCCATCACCCACGGTTCAGTTGCTGATCGGTTCCATGTGATTGGGGACCCCGGCCAATCATACGAGACAGGGATAGCTGCATGAGGTAGTACTCTACGAGGTCTGCATATGCATACATGGTATGGATGTACTAGTTAGGTATTCCTTATAGTCAAGTGCAACCCTAAAACTAATGGCCATACTTTATACCCAAGGCCAAGTAGTAATAGACAGTCAATAGGAGAAGTCTATGTGGACGTCGAAATGCATTGTGCAATGTGAGATTGATCGGTGGTTGAAGAAGTTAAGCTACACTAAGAGATCTAACAGGCTGCCAATTAGGTACGATGGAGGAACTCTTCTTTTGCTAAACCACACCACGAAGCTTCGATAAAGGAAAGTGCTGATCCCTATACTTTCTCTCAATATAATCCTTCATCTAGTTCTATACCTCCTTAAGGGGTTTAAATCAGGTAAAAAGGTACGGAGTAGGCTATTCTATCACAATAACCCTAAGCTCCACGAAGAAATCAAGAGTCCTTTAATAGTATGCCTAGGAGTATTATCGTATAAAGCAATCGGATCTTACTCCCTTCTTGGACGGAAGATGCCTTCTATTATACTACGTATAATATAGGATTCACTATATAGCTAGGTATAGGGGCTTCTAAAGTGAATTGAATCTGAAGTGTATCTGAAGTGTATCTGAAGTGAATTTGAAGAAAATTGGCAGATCTCTTGGCCGCTAGTGGGTGAATCTTTATAGGGTAGACTGTTGTACAGAGAGAAGCTACTAAGCCTAAATTGGTACTTGCCTATTTAGGTCTCGGGACAATTCAGCTTCTAGAATTCCTCTCTCTACAAACCTCTTTTCTTATTCCCATCTACCTAGCCCTCCAAGCCAAACCATCATGCCGTCAAAATTCAACATTGGACACAAGTTCTTGGACCTCATTTTCAAGGAACAGCGGAATGAACTTAGAGAAAGGTCATGCGACTCACAAAGGAAAACTCCGAAGCTGCCAACCCTCACCGTCGGCGACCGTGGTACTACTCGAGGAGATACTTCATCTAACAGCAACCCGAGCAGACGATGAGCTTGCACATATCCCTTCTATTCCGACCCCGGCCAAACTTAAGAGTGCCCTGACGAAAGTCGATGCCGCTTGTTCCAAAATTCCACTTAATGGAGCCAGGATTCGTTGGACGCTTGAATTGCTACTTGTCTACGCCCACGACATCGCTACTTCCCGCTAGCCCGACGCCGGCCAAAGCATCTATATATAGTCAGAAAGACACTGGGTCGGAGATTGGAGTCGGTTTATCGATCACATTGCCAAATACCCAATCGCAAAGCCTGGAAACCCCATTTTCGTTGGAACATTCTCGAATGTTCGAGATCAACAGTCGCGAATAGAAGGAGCTTGCGTTGAGTTGCTTGGAGACCAAAACGGTGAAGGACCGGAAGAAGAAGTTTGCCCTTATCGGCAAACCAGACACAGTCTGGTTTGGTGATATCGACGACATGAGAAGAAAAAGGATTGCATAGTATACGGCATAACGGCGGACGCAACATCTTTCTTCTTCCTTACGATTGACGAGAAGTCTAGGGTTAGTTTATCTCCTAGTTCTCATCAGCCAACCAAGAAGACATGATCGATTTCCCGATCCCCGACATTGCAGATCCCGATTTGGCAGACCCGACGGGGCACCTCTCTGTACGGGACCTCCCTGGCTTCTTGACAAACGGAGAACTGAGGAATCTGGACAACCGATCCCTCTAGGAAGAGGTTAAATTCCAAATCAGAAAACTTTTTTATGAGCACAAACCTAGCAAATTAACGTTTGCTGTACCCATAAGAACCTAAGTTTTAGCACGGAAGATTCGTTGTACTTTAGGTGGGCCTTTCACGAAGGATTCATTCGACATTCCAAAGGACAACCCCGACGACCAGCACTTGTCATATTATCGAGTGGTCTTTATCAACTTCACTCAAATGTGACGATCCGTTGGAATGTCGGGATGGTCAATATCTACGGAGAATTGCCCACGAGGATCGAGAGAAATCGGGCTCCGGCACCCAGCTGCGCCACAAGTCACGTTAGCTTCTTTAGGGAACACATGGTGGCTGGCAAGCCTGGAAGGGAAAAAGATGACCGTCTATCTATACACCTGGATGAGATCGCAGTGGAACATGGGGGATTGCCATGAACCTTCCCAATCTGAGGTCCTGCATTCAAGAGGATTACCGCCTTGAAGAAATGGAAGGGCGGAAGACCGAGGCTGATTCGGCCTCGCTTTAGCCTTCAATGTTTTGTCGTTCGGTGCTATGCCGAGACATACGATGGCAAGAACAGCAAGTATTGTAACAAATTGCACAAGCCCTACGAAACTGTAAGTTGCCAGGGACCTTCCCATGACAGGCTCGGTAAAGAATCATACTAATGTCACCTTAGGTCCCCGAAGACATTAAGGGAAACCGATATAAACTCCAGGGCTTTTGGCTTGTCTTTCGTAGGCACGGGATTTCTAGACCAATTCCGACAGTGGTTTTGGTGAAAGTCCTAACCGCGATGTTGATGATAATAGCGAGGAGATCGTTCTCCACCTACCACCCTAGGAGCTGGTCGTCAGCGTCGCGGCGTATATTCGACACCTCATCGCGAGCTTTGATAAAAGTTACTTTTGTCATTTGTCAAGACTCATCGTCGTACGCACTCTCTCCCCGGATACCCATATCCCCTAGGTGAGTGTGTCCCTCTGCTTTTGTGGGTAGTTTGTTTTTTTCTAACCCATTTTAGGCTACTAAGGATGCCTATTCCCGGTAGATTTCCGATCGTGGTCCGTTGGTGGTTCCTTTTCTCTCCTCGCTCTAGCTCTTGCTTCTTTACTTTTACAATAAACGAAATGAATTTGTTGGTCAGAACTGGCACCACACTCTCTGAAGAATGTCGTTATCGGATTAGGATGCCGATGCCATAATTCTGGAGATTGTCTCCTTAGGATGTCTAGGATACTGTACCAGAGGAATTTGTATATTGTATGTACTTTCCAATGTTGCTGAATCTACTCAAAAGCAACAATAATCTTCCCCTTGGTAGTGTTACCCTCAAGCAACTTATGCGCCTCCTCAATCCCCTCAAAGGGAAAAACCTTCTCAACAAAAACCCTAAACGTCCCATCACAGAACCGAGGCAAAGCATGCTCAACAAGCGTATCCCTCAATTTTCGCTGGTACCCCAGCTCCCGACTGCGCAATGTACTCCCCTCAATACGCACACGCTTAAACAGCAACGGCGCAATATTAACTCCCTCAGGTAACTTACCGCCGCCCATAAGACCCAACAGCACGATGCGACTGTCGCGCGCCGCTACATCGAGATTCCCCTGGAAATACGTCGCGCCGATGAAGTCGACGGTTAGATCGACGCCGGCGCCAGATGTCGCGGTTTGGATCTCAGCTGCCCAGTCCTGGGTCTTGTAGTTGAAGGCTTTTGTTACGCCGAGTTCTTTTTCCAGGAAGTCGATTTTCTCTTGCGAGCCCGCGGTTGCGTAGATGGCTTTTGCGCCTGCGTCTTTTGCTAGTTGGATTCCGGAGATTGAGACCGATGACGCGCCCGCGTGCCAGAGGACGCTTTGACCGGATTGGAATTCGCCGATTAGGAATAGCGCTTGGGACGCTGTGATCCAGGTCTGTTGCGAGGTTTTATTAGTGACGTTCCATTGTTGGAGAAAATATGTTTGAAGGAATGTTTTGCGCATGTGCCTACCTCCGGGACTCCGGCTGCCTCTTCCCAGGATAGCTGTTTGGGCTTGTGCACTAGCATATGGCTCGACACGGCGATGTACTCTGCGTACGCTCCACCGTATGCAAGACCAAGCACTTCATCGCCGATCTTGAAGTCTTCGTGTCCGTCTGCTCCGAAGCTCTCGATGACGCCGGAGAACTCTACGCCCATGGTTGGTGGTGCTTGGGGTGGGAGGGGGTATAGGCCCTCGCGCTGGAGCAGATCCATGCGGTTTAGCCCGAAGGCTCTGATCTTGATGATGGCTTCGCCTTCTGCAGCGGTGGGCTTGGCGATCTGGTCGATGAAGAGGTTTGTTGCGGGGCCTTTGCCGCCTTTGATGCCTGGAGGTTGTTAGTTTGGGGTTCACATTGTATAGGGTTCTTGAGTTGTGGATATAGAGGGAAAGGGGCGAAGCCAGTTAATTGAAGGGCAGACGGGTTGATATGGTTCATGTATGATCCTCAATGTGGCTGATATCAAGTGGGGGGATGTTCTTCAGCCCCGCGTTCACTTACCGATAGCTCGCATGGTCTCGCTCATCTTGAGTGATATGCACAGTGTTCAGTGTCTAATGGATATTTTCTATGCAAATGTTGGCGGAAGATATCCTTTTATATCCCCAGTAGCTAACAGCAATCCGATTATGACGAGTTGACCTCATCCGGGTATTTGATCGGCATTTGTCAGCATCTCCAACATCCGAGGTTCCACCATACTATTGACAGGGTTTGTTCAAGTGCCGGACAACCGAGTGGATAATGTAGTGTTGAAGAATCAGAAAATTTAGATCGTAGCAATGCTAATCAATTCAACTAGCTGGAAATAATGGGTAATGGTAATATCAATCATAAAGTGGCCCAGTCATACTCCATGCAATCCATGATTTTCGACGATATCAAGCCCTCCAACCCCTCCATAACAGACTCCACGGACTTTTCCCAGGTGCCGTAATTCAAGACGCCGGGGGAAAAAACAAGCACATAAGAAAAGAAGAAACCATAAAGCACGAAAGATGGTACCGAGAGCAAAAAAAACCCAGGATCTCCGTGGCTGGAAGGGAAAGAAGGAACAAAGAGAAAACAAAGAGAAAACACACAGAAAGGAAGCCCAGCCCTAGACACACTTTTTGTTCATGGGATGCCGTGGCATGCATATGCAGTAGCAGTAAAAGCAAATAGGAAAGGACATAGGTCACTATCATACAACTCGATTATGAGCACTCGTGTGGAATATCGTTATGAGAGAAGGTTCTTCAGCGATGGGCTTGCGCTTGCTCCGGTCCCGACCGCTGTGCCATTGACCCCAGAGTGTCGACTGCTTGGTGGCCCGCCCATCAGGGAAGGTGGTGTGTCTTCCGGTCGAGTTGGAGGGGTGGCAGTGGGCCCCCGCGGGTCAATACGTGCCTGTGTCACCGGTGGTGAGTGAGAGGTAGCTCCTACCACACGCTCGACGGAGTACAAGCGAGGAGGTGGACCGCCATTGAGAGCGCTCAGCGAGGTCTGGGGTGATCGGTTGATCGTTGTGGCTTGCACGATTGGGGGGACGCGGACGCTGCGTATGATCGCGGCGGTGGCTGCGAAAGATGCGGCGAGCGGGCTTGCACGGGGCCATACGGGCTCTGATGGGTGGCATACGGCGGCGGTGGTCCTGAAGGCCCAGCACTGGTATAGTGTTGAGGTGGCGGGCCTGCGGGGTGCGGTGGCGGTGGCGGATAGTTACTCATGTGATGCGGAGGTGGCTGTGCTGGGTGATAAGGCGACGGCGGCATGCCGTTGCGAAGACCGATGTCGGGCGCGTGGCGCTGCTCGTATGGTCCAGTGTATCCTGGTCCAGGGAGTCCGTTGGATTGGTGAGCGGGAGGCATCGGCCGCCCAAGAACACTGCTAGGGGGAGGAGGAGGATGCGGGTGTTGGTGGGGATGTGGGTGCGGCAAAAATGTATGTCCTGCATGGCTTGCATGACCTGCATGACCTGCATGACCGGGCATTCGTGAAGTGGGTATCATAGGGCGTTGAGCAGAATAAGGCGAAGGCCGTTGGTCGGGTGTAGGCTCTGGGACAGGCGGAGGTGGAGGAGGCGCTGGGTTCTTCAAGTGGCATTTATGGCATTCATATGCCAGTTCACAAGGATCCCCATTTTGTTGAGGGAAGGCACCTTGAGGCGGATGATGAGGGTGCCCTGAGCCATTAGCCATGAGAGGTCGTCGCCCAATGGCCCACCACCTGGGACTAAAGCCGGTGGCACAACGGACGCATTTATGATTAGTCTCCACGCCAGGAGCAGCTGGTCGCGGTGCAACACGGTTGTCGGTATCGATGTCCATGGGACCTCCAGTCACTTGCTCCAGAGCCGGTTGAACTTTGTGGGTTTCCTTGGAAGCTGGCGTAGTACTTGTCGAAGCCCGACGGTTCACATTGGTGGAAGGATGTGGGGGAGCTCCAACAGATTGATGCATGTACGCTGCTTTG